TTAATAAGCATATTTGAAAGGAAAAACAATCCTGAATTGATCTCTAAACATGAGCCCTTCATGTGACAAAATCAATATAAATCCAACCGTTGCCTGAATATTTGGGAAAGAAATCAAAAACTACCATATACTCACAGTGGCATAATAAACAAATGTTAATTGATGTGCTCTGTTTAAATTACTTCCAGGGGACTTGCAATGAGCAAGGATTTCCTGTATAGGCAATTCAGCAGCATATGTTGGCATATCTGGGAAAAGTCATCATCTATAAGTGTTTTCTGCCATCTGGTATATGACCTAAAATATCAAAAGGAAATATGTACAGCTAGAATGAATATGTGACTTTATTTAGAGTACCTTTGATCCATCAGGTAAAGCACTGTGTGTTTAACATCTTATGGTGAGATCGTTACAATAAAATGTGTTTTTATTCTTAATGATATTTCCATAGCCTTAATGTACTCTGTAAAACAGCAAAAATAGAACAAACAACAGTATTAGTTTCTATTCTCAGTGCCTATTTCTCTCCTCCTTCATATGTAGCTTTGCTTTTGACGTAAATGGAAACTCTGAGCATGAAAAGTGAGATGTATTTTTTAGACAAGTATAGTCCCTTAAATACTTAACAATAGAATCACTGTAACGGATACATAGTTTTTAGAGAACAAAATGGAATATTTTATATGTTATATAACAAAATATAATATTAGTCTACGTAACAAAATAATAAACAAATAATATTTGTAGTGCCTTTATAATACACCAGGCACGACATTAAGAATCTTATGTATATTAACTTATTTAACCACCCCCCTGCACTTCTACCACCATCATCATCCACACAGATTAAATATCTGTTTAAAAAGGGTAAAATAAGGGACTAGTGGTTGGTGCACAGTGAGTAAGCGGAATGCAAAGGCCATTTCCACCAGGTTGTGACCTTTCTAAAATTAAATATAAACAAGGAACTAACATTAATTGAAGAATTTCTGTGTACTAGACACTGTGCTAGAAAATGTTGCATTTTTTTGTTTAATCATTCCCATAACCTTGTGAAGGGGAGTACTATTATCATTCTACTTTAGGGATTAGTAACATGCTCAGAGAGATTAAGCAATTTATGCAAGATCACACAACTAGCAACAGAGAAAATGGTTATTCCTATTTAGTTCCTTCCTTAGCTATGATATCAGTCTTTTTTGAACCTTAATTTGCTTACAAAGGTAGGGCCTGAGACTCTATATTGATCATATGCTCCTAGGTAATGGCAGTAATTATGGTCTAAAGACTACAATTTTAGTGGCAAAAAATTGCTCATGCTGTTCTTTGTGAGATTTTATAATTTCTGTAGAAAATAATCTTTTGAAACTACCAATGAATCACTTAAACTTTGAAGTATAAAGAAAAAACAAGACAAATGTTTTAATCTCTGAAATTACTTAAAGAAAGGTGGGGCCGTCTTGAAAAACAGAGACAAAGAATGAGAAAAGGGGAAAGAAATTGCTGCAAACTATCCTGCAATTGTTCAACCGTCTATTTCTTTCTTGCTTTTTATCTTGTCAAGAGTAGTGTGAGTTTGCTCAAATGTTGGTATATTTGTTACACTTCCCTAATTACTGATGGAAAATTCAGAATTACGGTGAGATTTTTCTTTTGTATTTCTACTACATCCTAATTTTTAAGGGAATTTCCTCTTGGGCTGATTTATCTGTCTTCTTCCTGCCAACCTGCATTAATGCTGGTTTTTACCATCTTCTTGCGTGAGCATCTGTCCCTGCCTGTGGTTAGAATATATATGTGAGAGAAATATTCTTCAGTAATACCACTTTTCTAATTTTAATACTAACTCAGTAAAATTAATGTAGCTATTCAAAAAATAGCCATTTGTTTCTTAATATAAAAAAGTCAAGGTTCAATAATGCAGTAATAAAAGAAACCCTGAATTTTTATAACCTTCATAGGCATCACTAAAAAGTAGAAACACATGATTAAAATATAAATGGATACATAATGGTTGAAGATGGAGTTTGAAGCAATGTTCATTGCCAGGCTAACCAGTAGTAAATTTATATATTTGGAATCTACTGTAAAGATGTTCAATAATATTTTGTGTTAGTCTACCCTAAAGAAGTACAGACTCATATGTATGCATAGATGACATCTAAGTTTCTGAATTTTATAACTTATTAAAATGACTTTGCGAGAAAAAGGAGGATGGCTATAGGATCATACAAGACAACTGCAGAAGTATAATAATGATCTTATTAGATAAATTTGCTGATATAAGTACAAGTAACGATGTAACCAAATTGTTTTTGGCATGGCAAAGGCTAAGTTGTGGGTTGGTGGTGCAAGTTACTGCAAAAGCCAAAGCAGTAGTGCTCTGTCCTACGGAAGCCCTAATATGTACTGATGTCTGTTGAGCTTCTCACTATCTGCCAGACGGTTAACCCTCATGAAACTAAAAGGTAGTTATTATCCCCATATCACAAATGAAAAGCAAGACAATACAAAACTAAACACAAAGCAGGCCTGAAGAGGTTAACTACAATTTCCCAAGTTTGCATTTTTAAGTAATAAGTGGTAGAGCCATTTCAGATCTTTCAAACAGCAGAGCTCTTAGTCCTTCCTGGCTAGTTCCTCAAGAAAACAAGCAAACAAAACCTTTTATGGAAAAGAAAAATATGCATTTTACTGAGATTTGAGAATACATTTCTATGTCAAAGGACTTGGACATCAGCAAAGGAAGGAAATTGACTTGGATTTCAAACAAGGGAACCATAGTGAAAGATGTGAGAATACCTATATTTTGCTGAGAGAGTTGGCATCTGGGTCTACATCCTCTCCGTCGAATAAAGCAAGGAGTAGTCAAATGAGATATAATGAAAGATTTTATAATATAGGTTAATGTTGTCTTTGATAACAATGTATTTTACCAGAAATTAAGTCATGAGAAGTCAAAATTTTTGTTGGTTCATTTGTTTACACATTTTGTCACTCAACAGTTTCTTAGTAATTGAAGAGCTCATTATCTTATATTTGTACAATACTGTACTATATGTTGCTATTGATTTTGAAGTATGTTTTTAAATTAAAAATTAAACCAGGAGAGGTAAGCAGAATAAACATTACAAGCATAGGTTTACTATTTTTCAGATGAAGCTATAGATTTTGCGATACTAAATATATGTCCTCGAAGTCATAACAGCTACTAAGTATAAGAGATAGTTTAACTTTTGGTTCAAGCTGAAAACTCTTTCCATGGTTTCTACCTAGTTAATGAAAAAAATGCTCAACCCAACCGAAAATGGTATAAACTTAATTGATAGTGATCCAAACATACAGAGGTAATTAAAATAAAAGATATTTTAAAATTGGTTATATTTGAATGAGACTACTGATAAAATTGTAATAAGAAAAACATTTCTGCAATAGTAAAAAAGAAAAAGAAGGGGCTCTGTTTTTTGCTGGTATCATTATTTTTAACATTTTATTTTTTTAATTGAGAAAATTATATATATTTGTTGTGTACAACATGGTGTTTGGAAGTGTGTGTGTGTGTGTGTGTGTGTGTGTGTAACACACTGTGAAATGGCTAAGTTAAGCTAATTAACACATGCATTACTTCACATGATTATCCTTTTTGTTGTGAGAACACTTAAAATATACTCTACTGGTATTTTTCAAGGATATAAAATATTTGGATTATCCATAGTCACCATGTTATACATTAAATCACTTGAACTTCTTTCTCCTACCTAAAATTTTGTATCTTTTGACCAGTGTTTCCCTTTCCTCCCATTCCTCAACCCCTGGTAAACACCATTATGCTCTATTTCCATTAGATCAACTTTTTAGACTCCACATATATGAGAGATCACATGGCATTTGTCTTTCTGTGCCTGACTCATTTCACTTTATTCATCTTTGGTATTTTTCTCATTGCTTTAACCCTTTTCTCCTTATCTTTATCAAAAGATTATATTCATTTTTTTCACTATGTTGTGTCTAAGTAATGCAATAATTGATTTTCAACATTTACTTAGTTGATCCAAGTCTGATTTGGGAATCCTTAAGAGATTAAGTTAGACGTTCATATACAGAAAAAACATTTTTTATTTTTATATTTTCTACCACAGAATTGATAGGAATCAAAAATAACCCTGAGTGACTGGCAATGAACTGCATGAAGATGGACAATATTCAATACAAAATGTAAAACTTAAATAAAGAGAGGGAGCATCCAATTTATTTACAAGAAAAAAAGTTCCTAGTATGAACATATTGTAGATATTTTAAAAAATTGTAACATATGCCATTTTACTTATATTTTCATTTATTATTACTGATTCTATCCAAGGAAAATATGCCTTTGGCCATTTCAAAAGAAGTAATTAAAAATCATTCATGGACAATATTAAATAAAATAGCATGTAACAAAAAATAGCTCTTTCCTGAATAAAGATTGGTTAAATATTGTGGACTTTTGCATCTTTTTTAGTTTTTGGTATTAGAACATATTCAATTTAATCTACAACTAAATCCTAAAATATCTTCAATTTAAGCTAAATATAAAGTTCTTATCTGTTTTTCATTTTAACATTTTTGTTCTATAGAAATGTTCTATTGATATCAAGAAAAGTTTAATTATGCATAGAAAAATGAAAATCTGATTTAATAAAGATACATTACTTCAACTAATTGCTTAATTTCTTATGCAGCAAGTGTACCAAATTTAAGATGAAAAATAAAATATAATTAAATCTTCAAAATTTCAAAACGATGCATTAATGATTGTTTTTTCACTGAAAATTGTTATGATTTGTAAAATATTTTAGGAATCTGAATTATTTTCTTATAAAAATTATCTTTATTTAGCAGAAAGACTGCAACATCAGTCAAAGAAAATAAATTTGCAGTTTATTTTTTATTTAAAAAATGCATCATTTTTTTCTTTCACTTAATCACATTTTAATTGGTTCTTTTTTCTTTTTCAACAGGCTGAGTTAAATGTCCCAACAGATCCTTTCACTAGGTATAATGCAAAAATTTCATCAAATGTAGAGGAAGAAGTTTTTGCCAAATATATAGGGTGGAGGATTTCCAACACACTTGCCAAATTGTTTTTCCCGCCCATTGATGCCCTTCCTTTGAAGAAACCATCAATAAAATGGGATCAAAGAAAACATCTGAATAAAAAGCCAGAATCTATGAAAAAGAGAGTTCTACATTTTACTGTAAGGTATAGTGAAACACTATTTGTCCTATTATTCTAATACATTGCATTTTAAAAATCACACAAATTAAAAGTAATCGTTTTCCATGTTATTTAACTTGGTTTTTCTTCTTTACTTCATGTCTTGGCTTCACCACTATGTTGGTATTCTCATTGTGCCAGGTCTTCTCCTTCCAGATACTGTTTCCTCATGTTTAGAATAGATATTATTATAGAATACAAGTAAGTATTAACACAGTTTAGTGTAGCAAATATTTATTTAAAATATAAACTATATTATTTAATATTCAAAATTTTAAGACTATATTCATTTTATGTGTGTGTATACATTCATATATGTAAATATTTGATATGTATTTAATGTCTCTAAGTTAGAGTCGTAAACATAGTAAGCAATTATTTCAATAAGTGGTAGTTATGAGGGTAATTATTAAATTTTATGTTTCAACTCTTCATTAATATACTCAAGCTTATATCTAAGGAATTCAAGAAATCTTGGACTTAGGAAAAATTTATTTAAGTGAATAATTTCAAGTTTATTTATCATTTTTTCTATGGTAGATTTTTTTCAGATTCTTAGGATTCCTATTAACATTTTAACATGCTTAGATATTTTTTACACTGTCATTCTTTTGACAGATTGTTTAAAATTGGTGAAAAGTTACTCTGTTGATATACAAGGCCCTGTTTTACATTTGAGATCTTTCAACAAAGCTTTAATCAAAACAGAACCTTTTAAAAAAATTTTTATTTTAAAGATGTGGGGTACAATTCAGGGTTAGATATACAAATGTTCATTATGCAGGTACCCTTGTTGATAAGGTGTGCACCCCGCAGGCAGAATCCCATTACTGCCAACCCTGACCCCCTCACCATTCCCCCAGCAGTTTCCCACTGCTGCCAATCCTTTTCTTACAGTATTTCAATAATTGTTCAAGGTTCACTTGAGTGAGAACACGTGATACTCAGTTCTTTGTTTCTGTGATAAATCACTCAGTATGATAGACTCTAAGTCTATCCAAGTTGCTGTGAAGTTCATAATTTTGTCCATCTTTTTGACTGCATAATATTCCATTGTGTATATGTACCACTTTTCTTTTATCTGTCCTTTTTCAATGGGCAGCACAGTTGATTCCATGTTTTTGCTATTGTGAGCAATGCTGCGATAAACATACGTGTGCAGGTATCTTTTTTATGATTTGAGTTCCTCCAGGTATATTCCCATAGACAGAAATTTTTTATTTGCTGTTTAATCCAAGCCATTGAAAGTATATATGTTAAGTTTTTTCTATTAATTTTGAGAAATTCACAATGAAATCAGCTTTCTTTATGTTTTTAATAATTAATTTTTTAATATTTTGTTGTTCTGTTGAGAAATTTTTTCTTGGTAGACTTTGATAGCTAGATTTTACTTTGATTTTGATTTTTCCATTCCTGATTTCTCTTGGTTGGTTGTACCTGCTATGTTTTGTCTTATGCATTGCATTTGATTGGCTTTGCCTTTGTGTCTTTTTACAATCTCATCTAAGAGTCTTTTGCTCCTGGCTTGGAGGAATTTATAAGCCAGTGAATAAACTTAGTTTGTCTAAATAGTCACTGATATTGTATCAATACATACAAATCTAACTGTAAATTTTGTTCTCATTACAGAAAATAGACTTTTTAAAGTATTTATCTTTATATATTTTTCATTTGATTAAAGTATTATTGGGTGTCTTACATACCTGCTAAATATTTGAAAATAGATTATATTTGTCTCTACAAATGATAATTTAAATAGAGTATAATTCTTGATTAAAAGTTACTTATCCTTTGTAACTATTACGATAGCATATTAGTATGCTTGCAAATCTGGCATATAGTGTAATTTTTTTTCTTTTTTTTTCTTTTTTTCTTTTTTATTTTTTTTTTGAGTTGGAGTCTCACTCTGTCGCCCAGACTGGAGTGCAGTGGCCGCTCCCGGCCCCCGCAGCCTCGACCTGCTGGGCTCCGGTGATCCTTCCGCCTCAGCCTTCCGAGTAGCCAGAATTACAGGCATGCGCTACCATGCCCGGCTGATTTTTTTATTTATTGTAGAGATGAGGTCTTGCTGCCCAGGCGGGTCTCGAACCCGCGGGCTCAGGCAATCCGCTCACCTCAGCCTCCCAAAGGCGCGGGATTACAGGCTGAGCCACCGAGCCCGGCCTTCTTTTTTTAAATAGCATCTCTGTCCCCACCTTATTTTAAAAGAAAGCTTACAGATGTTCTCTCTGTCATGCTTTTTCATGAGAAATGTTTTAGAATTTTATACATTAAAGGTATCAAGTAAGAGCCTCCGTTTATTACTGACACTTATTTGTCTGGTTTATCCCCATCTCTCCCTGTCCTGGATAATAACATCAGTAATTGCTTTTGTATCTTTACAGGTCTATACAATGTAAACATAAGAAGTTATATGTATTTTAAAAATATTTTCTTTGTCTCCTTCATTGTTAATATAAATTAATTTTGACTCCAAATGTTGCTTCTCTCAGGTTGCCTCTTAAATATATTTAAAGCTATTGCTTTCTGTAGGTTAATTTTGCACCCTACCATCTTAGTAAATTCACATATTGAGTTCGAGTTTTCTTTTTATTTCTGGTGGAGATTTTATTATTTATGTATTTTAAAGATATGGGAGTTTGAGGTTTGTATATTAACAATTATATCAAGTACAGATAGTTTATTTTCTTTTCCCTGATTTCTATACTTTTACTTTCTTTCTCTTATGTATTTCACTGTATGGCCAGTAAAATACTAATTAATAATTGTGAATGTGGTTATATTTTTCCCATTGTTATAAAAAATTCTTCTGATGTTTCCCAGTTAATCATGATGCTGGATTTAGAACTGGGAAGTGTATATTTTCTCTAGTTCATTGAATATTTTATAAAAAATTATACTATCTATAAAAAACTCTCTTTATATTTAAGGACACATAGACTGAAAGTGAAAGGATGGAAAAAGATATTTCATGCAAAGAGTAATCAAAAGAGGGAAGGAGCAGCTATACTCGGGCAAAAACAACAACAACAACAAAAAAAACCACTAAGCCAAAAACTGTTACAAAAGGCAAGGAAATCTTTACATAATTATAAAGTATCCATCCACCAGAAAGATACAGTAATTACATATGCACCCAGCATAAGAGCACCTAAATATATACATCAAATACTAACAGAATTGAAAGGAGAAATAGACAGCAATACAATAATAGTAGGAGACTTCAGTACCTCAATTCAATAATAAATAGAACAACCAGATAGAACATTAACAAGTAAACATTGAACTTGAACAACACTATAGATCAATGAACCGAACAGACATAATGAACATTATATTCAACAGCAGCAGAATATATACATTCTTTTCAGGTGCCATGAAACTTTTTCCAAAATGCATTATGTGTTAAGTCACAAACAAGTCTCGACAAATCCAAAAAGATTGAAGTCATATCATGTTTCCTTTCAAACCACAATTGAACAAAACAATAACAGAACAAAAACAAAATTTCACAAATATGTAGAAATTAAACAACACACCTTTGAGCAACCACAAGTCAAAGATCAAACATAAAAGAAAATGAGAAAATACCTTGAGGCAGATGAAAATGAAATCATAGCATACTAAAACTTATGAATACAACAAAAGCAGTACTAAGAGGGACATTTATTGTAATACATACATTAAAAAGAAGGCAAATATCAAAAAAATTAACTTTACACCTCAAGGAGCTAGGGGGACAAAAAAAACTATGCCCACGATTAGTGAAGTAAGGAAATAACAAGATTTGCATATAGATAAAGAAAACAGAGAATACAAATCAACAAAACAGAGTTTATATTTTTGAAAATAAAATAATTGACAAGATATTTGGTATACTAAGAAAAAGAAAGAAGACTAAAATAAAGCAGAAATAAATGGAGAGACATTAAATTTGATGCCAAAGAAATATAAGGATCATTAGAGAAAGTTATGAACAATTACATGGTAATAAATTGGATAACCTTGAAGTGAATACATATTTAGAAGCATACAACTTACCAAGATTAAAACATGAAGAAATACACAAGCTAAATAGACATAAATAATGTGGAAATTGAATTAGTAATTGAAAACCAACAAAGAAAAACCCTGGACCAGATGGCTTCACTGGTGAATTCTATAAAACATTTGAAGAATTAATGCCTATTATTCTTAGACTCTTCCAAAAATTGAAGAGTAGGAAAAACTTCCAAACTTGTTTTAAGTCAACATTACTGTATTAATAAAGCCAGGCAAAGATAACGTGAGAAAACAAAACTATAGGCCAATAACATTAATAAATATAGATGCACAATTTTCAAGAAAATTCTAGCAAGCAGAATCCAGCAGCATATTGAAAGAATCATACATCATGACCAAGTAGGTTTTATTCCTGGTGACTACAAAACTAATTAATCAAATGGTCATCTCAATAGGTGCAGAAAATACATTTGACAATATTTAACATCATTTCATTATAAAATTGTCAGTAAATTCAGAAATAAAAAGAATATACCTTAACATAATAAAGGCCATATATGAAAAGTCTACAGCTAACATCATACTCAATGGTGAAAAACTGATAGCTTTTCTTATAATATCAGAAAGGTGACAAAGATTTCATTCTTGCCATTTCTATTCAGCATAGTGTGAGAAGTCCTAACCAGAGTAATTGGGAAAGAAAAGAAAAGAAAAGAAAAGCCATCTGTATCAAAAAGTAAAAAGTTCTTGCACTGATAAAGGACTTTGGCAAAGTCTCATGGTATAAAATCAATGTGCAAAAGACAGCCATATTTTTATGCACCAACAACAAACAGGCAGAAAACTAAATAAAAACAATCCCATTCACAATAGAAAAAAGGAAAAGAAATACCTCGGCATTTTCCTGACCAGAGAAGTGAAAGACGTTTACAACAAAACTACAAAACACTGCTCAAAGAAATCAAATAACACACAAGCAAATG